AAGGGAATTTATTTTATCGGATCATACAGCTGAATTTGAATTGCAAATAAAAATTCAAATAATATGTTCTAGTGACCTATTCGTTTAAACATAAATGCGCTCACCAACGAAGGCTGTCTACATTTCTTTAATTATATCAGTTTGAAAAATGCCATCTGATTGTTACAAAGTAATTCGTTGAAAATTTAACAATAGTATGTAACTACAGGTACAGATATGCGTGTTTGTACTGCGTTTAAGGTTCATGCAAATTTAAATATACTTACTGTAGTTATAAAATAATGAAAGGTAGAAAATTACATACTTCTGAAGATTTGTATGTACAGTAAGGAAGGTTAGATCCTTAAGGTGCTTAATTTTCGAGAAGGCAAAGTGCACAAGTTGTTATCCTGCATCTGAGATACTGACAGCCTTAACTATGATTTATTGTAAACGAATTCAATGTTCTGTTAGGTATTAAAATTCTGTCCTTAAAGCGCGAAACTATCAGAAAGATTAATTCAGTAACGTTCCAATTATTTTTATAATCCCCATCGTCATTACAATCAATGAATGCACTATGCTGTTTTTAACGTACGGTAAATTCACGCCGCCAAAATAATTGAAAGTAACACGATTTTTGTAGACTATATCACACATCCCAAATCGGTTTCACTTTATGCAAATTACGGTTTCGTAATTTGTAAAACGAGATTCAAAATACGGATGACTAAGTAAAATAAACTAAGTTAGATGTTATTTTTATGTATGTACCGATAAGTATGAATCTTGTTGTCACACTCTCTTTGCAAGTTATAACAGAAATAACGAAAAAATTGAAAAGTTTGAAAGGATAGAAAACTATACTCGTGTCAGCGTAACTTAACAACAACTTCGCAATCGAATTTTCAAGTTGGCTATTCGGGTTATCCATTGATGTGCCTTTTTATAGTTATTCGTAATAGTTATGCAATACCCTAGTATATTAGTCTTCAACGTTTCTTTCAAACTAATACAATGAAAATCATAATTTGAGATTATCTTTCTTTATAATTATTTGGACTTCAATAAGTCAGTAAATAAATTGTTTTTTTTTCTTTTTAGGAAGCATACAGAAGCGCCCGTATTATGGCTGAGACTGATTACAATGAATATAGTGAAAATGTACACAACTTATTTCCAGTTGATTGTTACTTTCTTTATTGAAAATATACAACGATAAAGCTTCTTAGTTACAATCTTGGACTTAAAATTAGTTTAGTCAATGCTATGAATAAAATAAATTTCCATTAGGAAGGTGAATACTAAATTCATAGATAAACGTACCGTAACACGGCAGCTCTATATTAGTTCATTTCACTGTATCCAAGTTTATTTAAATAGATGCATTTACATGAAAAGAAGTTTAACCGGAAGTGTAAATTTCTTCATTTGAGTTATGATTAGTAAATATTTTGTCACATAATTAAATCAGATGAAGACTAGATAAAGACGTCCCACCAATTACTGTTACGGTTTATACAGGAATCTTGTTTCGAGTTACGTTCATATTACCCGCTAGTTCAGTGCCTTGTTTCCTGTAAAACATCTTTTCTGATTTTTCACACTAATAAGCATACATGTAACACATGCTAAGACATTATTCATGTAATCATACTAAGTTAACACAACATCTTTGAGTACTTGGTACTTTATGATGTTACTAGGACAACCAGTAGAGATATGAAAAAACCTCTTCATTCTGTATATGTCCCTCTGGATGATTAAATATTCATATACACAGTGACAAGGAGCATGCCAGCCAATCAAGTCAAGTAGGTAAGTACGTCTTGTCCAATGACTGGTATTTGGTACTTCACGACGGTCTGGTCTGACATACGTTTCACCTGGAACACAAGAAATTAATCCAAACTCGAATCCTGGTGACTAACGTCCTTTCAGGCTTGGTCTATTTGCGCAGAGCTCTCGGTATGAACCTTTTACATATACAGGAGCAAGTTGAGGCGGCATTCAACAATGTGCTAGTCTGTTTGGTTGCTATATCAAATCATTGTCCACATCGACCATAGTACAGAATTACACACAAAAAAGATGGAATAATAGGCAACAAACTACCTAAAACGAGGTGAAGAATACGTCACCTAGTCTCTAATTAGTAATTACGGTTCTTAGATCTTATCAACGAGTTCTGCAGCTCAGAAAGACTCACAAAATAAATGGGTTCCATCCATGCCTTAGTGCATCCCTTGTGATCAATCCTCCACTATAATTTAACTTTCATTAAAATAACATCAAATAACATGACGTCTAGAAAGAGCTAACGTATTCCATTCACTGCAGTTTATGAAGATCAGCAGCTCAGGCCGACGATTTTGATGGTGTTCTTTGATGGCATCAGAGAATTCCCGTTGTCACTTTGAACACCTCCAGAGCCTATTGTGTATATAAGTGGACTTTTCGGCTGCTCAACAAGTGCTACATCGATTTTCTCCGATGGCCTTGTTTGTCATTGGGTGTATTAGTAGATATTTTCCCCGTCATGTGTCCTTGTATTTATGGTAATTATTTCTAGCAGTTGACTCTTGGCCTTGATCACATACATAAAGATTCACAGATCGGGTCTATACCGATTTCTGTTGATAGCTAATCTGTCTAAATGCCATTTCCTGAGAAATTGGCTGGCATTTTCGGAGTTTTCTCGATCCTAGTTTTAATGTTTCTTTGATTGAATTAATCTCCATAGTTGTCTGGATGCACTAATATAAGTGATGGGAAATTATGCCGGGCCACCGCTGACCTATGTTCATTTGTACATAGGTGAAGGGGACGACCGCTTGTCAAATCGAATATTTTTTGAAGTTGATGCAATTTATTTTGCAGATGGTGGGTTTTTCGTTATTGTCTTTGATCTGTGTAGAATAGAATGAAGCGATCGTACTGCTCTGTAAACGATGTTGCCTCAGAATCCTTGTACTGGTTTTCGAAACATTTCTCATACATGGTTGAACGACATCTTTTAGTTTCCGGAGTTGGTTCTTTAATGGTGGTAATTCATTAGATACTTTACGGTGAAGCTGTTAGGGTAGCCATTTTTGAGGAGCTTCCTCAATTTTCCGCATAGTGAGCGCTGAAGCGAGTTGTTGGTCTTCTGTCTTCAACCTCAACAACTGGTTGTTTTCTACTTCAATACTATACCGCCAACCACAAAAACAAACAGGCGATGAGTAAATACTATTGGTGGCTAAAACTGCGTAACCTAGTACATAAAATATGACATCACGGTAAAATACAATTAGGTCATTACGCAACAAATCTGAAAATTGATAGAAAATTTCGAAGAACGTCTGTTGCTGCATGCAACAATTCCTGAAAGACGTTTTCACCAGTTGTGAAATTTGGTTAAATTTGTACTCAAAACATATGTCAATAAATGAAGCTAACGTGCTGAACCTTCCTCATCACTTCATATTAAGAGGGTTGAATGCTAATAGGTTATGATGTGACGCTTACAAAATGCACACCTTGACTTTCGAGATCTTGAGTTTTTCTATCGCCAAAATACTAAATTAACAAACCTAACGTCAGGACTATCGAAGTGAAGTGAAAGCATCTTCCGAGAACTTTGTTCGTGCAAATTTTTTCTAGTTCATGATTTTGTGGTTTATGTGTACAGAATTTTCGTGATAAACCTTACATGATTTCGCACTTGACTCCGATAGGTTTTTGTAGTTAAGAGTGGACGAAAAACCAGTAAATATAACAAGTATGCCAGGATAATGCGACAAGATACCAGGAAATCCACGCTATTTGTAAGTCTTAGCATCGTTCTTTAAAGAGAAAAGCAACCCGTAAACATTACGACTGAATTTTGTTTCCAATCAGAATTAAATGTCAGAACTAAACCGTTCTTCCTAAGTAACCATGCAAGCTTAAAACATGCACTGTTTTTCACAATCACAAAGTAGATAATCGATGAGAGCTTTAAAATATAAACACCTTTGGAATTTTGTATGAGTCAAGATTCGAATGATTATTTGTAAGATATTTACCTATCAAAATGGCCTTATCTTTTATTAACTTTTACGTAAAGGAACATCTACCAGCAATCAGTTTTAAAATAAGAATATCAACAGACTCCACAATATATCAATTAATCACAACAGACAGAGACATGAACAACATCAGGCAACTTAGCTACAGCAAGTATACTAGTACACTACATAAAAGAAGTGGAATGAAGTAACTTTTGTAGGAAATGTTTAGACGTCTGCTTACTTTCTCCACTAATCATGCTACAAAGATTATCTAAAACTAAGTAAATCTAGAGCGGATGCTGAGAAGTTTGACATCATTTAAATTATAATTCACGACGATAGAAAGGACGCAAATAACCGTAAACTCCAAACGAGACCACAATCGTACAGTAATAATGTGAACTGAAATGATCAGTTCTGGGTACATCACGTTTACTGCTGCTTGTAAGCAAAAGTCATTTGTTGAATCCTTATAGTAAAAGATAGGGACCTAGTCATGTCTCTGAAAAGTACCATTAAGGTGCTTCGTAAGAGATAACTAAATCAGCAATGTAACACAAGGAAGAATTAGAAATCACTTAAACTGGCATTCGCATAGTTTCATGAGCCATTATATTGACGCCTGTGTCGTGTAAGAGATTTTCACCAACACTGAGTTCGTTTTCCATTCCAGATACGCCTTCTGTTGAGAGCAGTTGACTCCTATTCGGAATATAACTTAAATGTGACCTTGGGTTAAACAGAGAACAATATTACAAACTATCCAACAGCCAAACTTCAAATAACGTAAAACACTGGTTGCAGATAACGCAAATACACGCACGGATCCTCCTATAGCACGAAATATCAAAAGGACTAAAATCAAGATTGACGAATCTTTTAATCAACAAAAGTGAAGCGGTTTCATAGTGCAATATTGACTTGTGTATAGAATACTTAAGTGCCTCGCTTACCACCCGATATTCATAAAGCCAAGAAGATTATACAGCATATTAAAGAGAATTTAATTGACGTTCCAGCTTACAATATCTACCGCTGCAAACTGACAGGTTAAAAAGGGTACATAAACGTAAATGGTACAAAAAATAGGCTGAATGGGAACAAACTGGAGTTGACACTCAATAGTGAGATACTTGTATCTAAAGCATTTCTGAGAACGAATTAAATCGACATAATAACTTTCTAGCCAAGACAACAGAACATTGTGTTGAATTCAGAATCTGGTATTTCGAAATCTGATGGATCAAATTCATCACCATCGTCTACCAGTACTAGTAAAACACAACAGACCTCACCATTCATTGAAAATTCAACGAAATCTGAAGAATGACTCATGCAGGAAAGAGAAATCACTCCATCCACAAGTGACTTTATATTATCAAGGCGAGTGCATAAATCACCGTAGTCATCTGAAATAAAAGCTGTTCTGTATGAGCACAACCTTTGTCTTCATATGCAAAGAATTTCTCACATGCTTCCTTATATACGTTTTCAGGAACTACAGTTTTAGAGGGTCGCATTATTTCTGACTGCAGATGAACATGCTGCTGAATGTTCAAATCTCTTAATCCTAGTTTGCGCTTTGCATTATTCAATAGTGGAGTTTCAGCTTTCAAGTTGTCACGAATGTGAGTAGAATTTTCTGTCTGTTCACCAAATCCTAGCATGTCCAGATCTTTCAAAATGTTACAACGACCTCAAATTATGTATCCACAACGAAATGAAAGTTGACCTTCGGTTAACCAATGTCCAATATCTTTAAGATGAGCTTGTACATACCTATTTATTTCTTTGTACTAACTTCTCAAATATTTAATATGGTTCTCAGTGCTTGAAGATGTCCAATTGATGATAGTCTAGTCAATCGATTGCACTGAGTTTAGCTACTGTGGTAGTCATTTGTGTGTTTGTATTACAGTTAAAGGAACGAAGAGAAGAGAACGCACCGAAGTGGTGAGCGATGGGGAAGGCGAGTGAGCAAAATCCATTTAATCAAGTGCTAAGCGATATTTATAGTCATACAAAAATAAGCTGCAGACATTAGATGAGTAGGACAAGAAGTACACACACGCTCATATAAGAACAGTCAGGGTTGATAAGCGAATAATTACCAAGGTCAGAACATGGCTTAAGAAAAATGAATAAATTAACCCGGTCAGAAGCTAGAATAAGGTGTATAGGCTTAGCATAGTAACCAACACTACAGGCAGTACTAACACACACGCTACCACTGTCATTCAAATAAACGCATTCTCCGTCGTCTATCCTTCTAATTTAATGGTCATGGCCTGCAAGTGGTAGTTAAAGTAGTGTTAGACCATTCTTCTATATCATTCAATGTTGCGTCGGAGTCCTTGTTCAGATACATTACTGAGTACTGCTATCGCATTTAATCTTTCTCACTACGTCATCTCAGAAAGAGCTCATAAATAAAGTTCGTCTCATAAAACTTGTTACTTTTTTGTTATTTAATATACCATTTTGTTGCAAGTACTATGTATTACCGTTTTGCTTCACTCAGAAAAAGACACTTCTGTTTGTGATGCTAATATTTTTGGTGTATCACCAGCACTTGTGAGTATAGTCAAGTCTTGAACAAGTTCATTTATTGAGATCCACCTTAGTATATTTTGCAATCTGAATGAGCGCATCTATTACAGGACAGTAAGGTTTCAAAATCAATAGCTATCACACTAAGAAGCAGAAGGTTGACTGATTGCAGTGTGAAAAGAAAATTTTTAATTTTTGAATACTAAGAGAAGACAACTGATTCTATAAGTAAAAAAATAAATAAGTCAACTAATGTAGACAGTTATTCAGGCAGTAGAATGAATCCGAAGTTTAAGGGGTACTGTGATGACAAGTAAGACAGGAATATGTCGAGAATATCTGGCAATAATAAAACTAAGTAAATCACGAGACAAGCATCAGGAACAGGCAGTGCAGTCCGAAGAAGGTGAATCTAGGATGGTTACTTTGTGGAGTGTGATGGTGATGTTATAGTGGACTATTTGTGAGAAGATTATATAGGGTAAGAAATCAAAACTTTTCGAAATCTCTGTTAAACAATTGTAGTTAACGTTCGTTTCATAAAATTTATGTTGCAGAGAGTATTTACTAAAGAAAGTATCATGAATAGTAAACCTGACAATTATTTCAAAATCACCGTAATACCTTCCCTTTTCTCTCATTCTGCATTAACATCACAGTCGTACTCAAAATCTGTCATTTATTTGCACTACTTATTATTACATACTGTAGTGGCATTGGACAATAGCCACACAATCCACAAAGCTGTGAACACGAGACTACTCGGAAAATAGATATTCAATATTTAACTTGGGGAAATACCTAGCAATGGAGAAGGCGCGGAGAATGAGTTGAATGGACTGGGGTTGATCGAGTGGCATGGCTCGGCCATGCAGGCGTGGTCCATCTCAATGTTACTTTATATCTTCTATTCATATTAAATATATTGTTCTTTCTCTAGCCTAACCTTGTTCTACATCATGTATTGGTAATTGATACGATACAGTGAGTTGGTGTAGTCGATGGTGTGACTTCCACGTAAGATCTTATAGATTAGGCAGTTATATCATGACGAATCTACAAATTTAGGATTAGGTCTATTATTAGAGCAGTACTAATATCATAGTAGACCATAATTCTACAATACCACCTGTCAATTTAGTAATATCTCCGTACCTTTTTCGGCAGTCAACTAATTGCCCACTTACATTTTTCTCTGTTTGCTTCACTGAAGAAAGAATTTCGCCAAAGAATATAGTACTGCTATGTGCCATTTTAGCAATTCTTAGCTACGAAGGATAATTGGTTTAAATAAACTTCTCTTTAAACTGTCGGCTTCAAGCACAGATAAGAATATTTACTAGTTCTGTGTGCTTCATTTGTGACAATTACCCGAATCGAACTTTAAATGAATACCTATCACTAGTTCTTCATTACTACTTTCGTCTCTCGAAATATATGATTTTTTCCTATGAGCGTTACTCTTACAGATTTCTCGTAATGAGTTTCACTATCCAGTTTCGTGCAATACTATTGATCATCTATATCACTATATTTTAATTAAGCCCTCGTCTGTGTCACTACAACAGCAGTGATGTGGTTCAGTCTTTCAGAGGCGTAAAATGTGCAGCTTTCGATCGTGGTAGTTAATAGTTGGTTCCACAGGCATTCGACATAGATATTGACTTCAGCAGTGTTACTGAAAACCCTAGCTGAAAACACGTGGTCACGTATCCACATCATGATGGAGTGCGCCGTATTATGCACCCCTTGCAACTACTAGACAGTTTAGGTCAAAAGCTCATCAACTTATGGGTAACTTTTGTTACATATCTTTGAACTCATTCATGCCTGACTTCTGGTTTGACTGAGCTGATTACTTTCGATTATAACAGTGCTAGGTACAAAAGCATTTTCAAACCCTGAATATCTATGGCATTTTTAAAAACATCATGAAACTGCAGAGAAGTAAGTGAATAAACTGTCCTTTCTTGCCATAAAAGTAAACTTACTGTTAATTTAACATCACCATCGCTGACGGGCATTATAAAAGTACCGTAGCCTCGCTAAAACAAGAAGAAAGTGCAAAAAGAACAGTTTATTGATATAAACTCACCACGAATACTTTAGATATCTTAAGTATTAGATTTGATGGTGGATTTCGTTACTAGTGAGACGCTACTATTGATTTTTGAAGGATATCTACATGATGGCTTTGGAACATAATTGGGTTAGACTAAAGTTTGGTGTAGTTTGTGAAGATATGCACAACAAGCTTGTTTTGTAAACAGTTTTTGATGTTATTTGTATTCGGTCTGTTCGTTTTCCGTAGCCTGTACATTTACCATTAAATGATTGTAAGTGTATGACCTCGAACACACTTTCTTCCGTCGTGTTACACTCATAGAACGACACGCGCTGTAACCTACTAACAAATACACTGCTCTACACATACCTCTTGATCTCTAGTGGCATTGGACCATAACCACACAATCCTCAAAGCTGAATACGAGATTACTCGGAAAATAGATATTCAATATTTAACGCGGAGAAATACCTTACGATGGAGAAGACGCGAATAAGGAATTGAATGAATTGGAGTTGATCGAACGGCATGGCTCAGCATGCAGGCGTGGTCCCTGCTGAATGTTATTTTATATCTTCCATTCATATTAAATATGTTTTTCTTTCTCTAGCCTAACCTTGTTCTACATCATGTATTGGTAATTGATACGATACAGTGAGTTTGTGTAGTCGATGGTGTGACTTCCACGTAAGATCTTATAGATTAGGCAGTTATATCATGACAAATCTACAAATTTAGGATTAGGTCTGTTATTAGAGCAGTAATAATATTATAGTAGACCATAGTTCTGCAGATCTTCATTGCTCGTGATTGTGTTAACTGAACTCTAAATCAACTACCGTCTACATTTACAGACTACAACCAAATTATACCATATTCTACGCTTCGTTATGTCACTGGAAGGACATCAATCTTACTGGAATATTCAGTCATCTCTAATTGTGGATTTTGGTACCAAACTCAACCGGAACACGCGCAAACCTGCTGAATCAGGTAACGTCTCTAATTTTTGTTGTGTTTATAACGCTTATCTAATATATACTAACATTACAGTTTGTACTCAATAACTCTGCTATCATTTTTGAGTTCATATATTATTTGGTCCATTACAAGTTACGCGTCAAACACTTATACAAGCTACATGTTAATGACCACTTCAAAGAACAGTGCGCTATTTCTGAGACAAAATTCTGCTATTTTTGTTATTTTTATTCTGAATGACTGAGAACAAATGAATTAAACGAGGACTAGAATACCAGTGTTTTTGAGTGTACATGTAAGTACTTGAATTAATTAGCTTGTGATATAGTACTATACAATCGAACTATTGTAACGCTGAGTGGACAACAATGAGCTGAGCTAACAGTAGTATTTGGATAGCATCACAACTAGACCTCTTTTTAATTTAGTTGGGTTGTCATCGACATTTGAAATCCACAGCAGTTGTACTACGATAAAAATAACAAATTGAAATGTGGTATTTCCTTTAACAGTTATATTCTTCTTAAGATATGGTGTACTAAAATGAGTGACCATTTACTTGTATTTAATATAGTCTTATTAGACACCAAGTTTTATAATATCAACGTTCACTCCGGGTCGTAATGTTCCACTAAACAGTGTCAGTTCTCATTCTGTACAAACTTATCCCCTTTGCGAAGATCAGTGTACTAACCCGTCTGTACCCACTGTCCTTGCTTAACAGAAGTTAAATATCGCAAATCAGTGTCCAATAATTAGAACTGTGACATCTATTTAAGGAATTAGTGAGAATGTGTGAAATTATGGTTTAGTCCGGTATTAGCACACTTATGTTCGTCACTATAATGATAGGCCAAATTCCCAAACTGTAGACTTTTCATGATGTGACCACTCGATTTATAAGATCTCACATGGAAGTCACGTCACTCTACACACTGTGTCGTCCTACATGGCGACCAGCAATATGACGTCTAGCACTTCTGAAGAACACACCTGGACTGGATAGAGAGTGACATATTCGGCACATCGAACATTACATTATGTAGAGTGACCACACCTGCATGACTGAGCCATGCCATCTCGAGTGGTTATTGACGTATTCACCATTGTTAACCTTTCCTCTGCTTTAATGTTGAATGTCAGCCTTCTCAGTAA